GTTGGGGGAATTCTGAAATTCAGGTACAGTTACAGGATAAGGGACACTCATTTAAAATTGAGACACAAAGGAAAGTCTTCTCTCAGAGGTTAGTGAAAGTTGTGGAGTCTAGATCACTGGAAGCATTTGAAGAGGAGCTAAACAGATTTTCAATAAACTGTGGAGTTTAGGGCTTTGAGGAGCTGTTATAAAAGAGGAGTTGAGGCCTTGGGCAGGTCAGTCATGAGCTTATAGAATGGCATGGCAGGTTTGAGAGGCTAAATGGTCTACTCCTGCTCCTATTTCTTATGTTATTATGTTCTAACCGCATTAGTCTCTCTACTACCTCATTAAAAACTGAATCAGTTTACTTAAGTACAATTTGTCCTGAATAAATTCTTACTGGCTTTATTTAATTAATCTGCATTTGTCTAAGTATAATTCTAGAATTCTAAGTCGCTGTTAATTCTGTCCTGTTTCCAGGAGCCGTGCCACCATAGTGGTTAATTGACTGGCTTGCAGTTATTTGACTTAACCTTGCACTTTTTTTGAAGGAAAGAATAACGTTTGCAATTCTCCAGTCCCCTGGTACAAGTTTTGTATGTAAGAAACATTAGAAGACTGTGACTATTGTCTTCAAATTTTCTGTCCTTACTTCTCTTCATATCCTTTCATGTGGCAATAGTAGTTATCATTTTTAAGTGAACACAATAAATTGGACATCCCCTCTTTGAAAATTCCTTGCTATCTGTCAAGTATATCTTCTTTCATAATAAGTCTGGTAACATCTTCCTCTGTGGTAAAGTATTCATTTAGTACCTCACTTGTACCCTCTGCCTGTGTATAAATCCCTTATTTTGACCCTAATCAGTGCACTCTTCCTTTTACCATTGCTTTAAACAGTTTATATCTTTAGAAGACTTTTGGCTTCCTGTTTACATTATCTTCCAGTCTCTTCTCAGACTCTATTCTTGCTTTTATTTCTTTTTCACTTCTTTCTCTGAATCTTCCATATTCATTCTGGTTTATCACCTGTGTTATCAGCCTGTCAACTTCCATAAACTTCCATGTGCGTCATCTCACTTTCTATGTTTTTTTTATCATCCTGGCTGTCTTTGTCTTAACTTTTTTCCATTGTGGAAATGTACCTCAACTGTAGATTACCTGTCTCCTCTTTAAAAGCACCCCCAGCATTCCATAACATTTGTTGCCTGTCAGTATTTGACTTCAATTTACCTGGACCAGGTCTATTCTCAGCTCTTTGAAATTGTCCCTCATTCAATTAATTGCTCTTACTCTAGATTGCTGCAGTTTGGGAGCAATCCATTTGATACCCAATTATCTTTATGTTACACACTTCTACCATATCTCTGGGCAAACTGTTCAAGTACAGCTGCAATATTCACACCTACCTGTTAAAGTAGGAAATTATTCAGGTATGTCTTGTCCACAAAAGCAAGACAAATACATTCTGATCAGTTACTATCCCGTAAGCCTACTTTCAATCATCAGCAAAGTAATCAATTGCTGCTCAGTTAATGTTGCATTAGAGCACTCAGCTCCAGACCTCAATATGGCCTTGGTCCAAGATGCACATTTCAGGTCTGAATTCTAATGGTGAAGTAAAAGCAAATACCCTTGATATCAAGGCAGCATTTGACTGAGTGAGGCATCAAAGATCCTTGATAAAATTGAAATCAATCAGGGGTAACTCATCCCCTGGATGGAGCACAAATGGAACATTGTTGGAATTATTGGAAACCAATTATCTCAGTCATAATACAGCACTGCATTAGTCCCCAGGGTAGTATTTTAGGCTTATCAGTCTTTCAGTTTTTTCATCATAATGTCAAAGCTGGGCATGTGGTTGATGATTTCAGTTCCATTCACATCTCCTCACATAATGAAACAATTTGTGGCTGCAAATTGTAAGATCGACACAGCATTCATAAATGGACTGATAATTGGCAACAAGCACAGCACACAGTTAATAATAGAGTTTGATGATCTCCTTTTGACAATCAATGGGATTACCATTGCTGAATCGCCCACTATCTGAGCACCAAGTTGTGGGAAGAGGGGAGAGCAGATCAGAGGCTGGGAATTCTGTGGTAAGGAAATTACTTACTCAATTAACCTTTTCATGATACACATGGCAAAGGTCCATGTTGTGATGCAATTTCTCTAGCAAACTCAAGAAACTCAACACAATCCAGGACAAAGTAACTGCTTCATTTTCATTGTTTCTCACAACCTTAGAAGACACACACCATCCATCACTGGCAGATTGTTGATGCAATTTGTACTACTGACAAGATACACTGCAGCCAACTTATCTGCTTTGACATGCCTTCCAAACCTATGACTTAGGCCTCTTAGAGGGGCAGCAGGCACATAGGAGCATAACCAACAGCAAGTTCCCCTCTAAGTTACATGTCGTTAACATGTATCACTGTTCCTTTATTGTCACTGTGTCAAAAGAAATGCCAGATCTCCATCTCTACAGCTCCATAGGGATAGCTTCACCAAGTGGTCTGCAGCAGTTCAAGAAGGCAACAACTCAACAACACCTGCTCAGGAATGGATAATGAATTCTGGCTTTGTCAGTGATGTCCATATCCCATGAAAAATAATAGAAAACTTATATTACATATATCTCACATTTCATAAGCTATTCAAAAATGTGCTGCTAGGTACCCACCTTAATTTGCTGGATTCCCTCTTAAAAACTGGAATATTATTTTGTAGGCCAATAAAACATATTTTTCCCTATGCATGCTAATTATATTCATGCAGTTATGAATTTCAAGCTGGCTACTTACACAACATCACTGAAAATTACTTTAATTAGGGATGTCTAAAATAATTTGACATTTCCAGGCTATCCATGTTTTCTCTAAATTATATGTAAATGTTTTAATAATTAAAATACCTAGTCTCCTCTTCTTTTTTTAAATTCATTTAAATCCTTAATTGCAAGTTGAGAAATGACAAATATATTTAAATGATAATTGATGGTGAAGGTATTTGTATATCACCACAGAAAATGATTTAAAATGTTGGATCTTTAACCTAATACTTTAATGATAACAAAGGAAATGTTTATATATTACCTCATTATCCACCCTGTTTCTGACTTGTACATTAGTGACTTTGGATCATATGTTGATGTGATAATGATAATTATTTTGCAATTAGTTTAACAAATTAAAATGGTTAAAAATGTATAATTGCACTAGTTTTATTGGATTGCTTGATAATGTTATTTATTTCCCCTGGAAACTGATACAAATTTGCCATATTCTGATGATTTATTTACGTCCTTTTAGTCTGAGATATGGAATTATTCATTAATTAAGGCTGCACATTGTGGTGTCCCTAAAATCCAGCCCACTTGTTTTACATCAAGGCATGGTGCCTCAGTGGTTAGCACTGCTGCCTCACAGCGCCAGGGACCCGGTTTCAATTCCACCTCGGGTGACTGTCTGCGTGGAGTTTCACATTCTCTGCGTGGAGTTTCACATTCTCCCCGTGTCTGCGTGGGTTTCCTCCGGGTGCTCCGGTTTCCTCCCATAGTCCAAAGATGTACAGGTTAGGTGAATTGGCCATGCTAAGTTGCCCATAGTGTTCAGGGATGTGTAGATTAGGGGGATGGGTCTGGGTGGGATGCTCTGAGGTTCGGTGTGGATTTGTAGGGCTGAAGGGCCTGTTTCCACACTGTAGGGATTCTATGAAATAACAATACTGACCTCTGGAATAAAAGTAAAATACCCTGGATGGTAGAGATCTGAAACAAAAATGGAAACTGATAAAAATAGTTAGCAAATCTGACAGCATTCTTTCAGATTCTGTTGAAACAACATAATTGACTCAAAGCTTTCACTCTGTTTCTCTCTCCATTGATGCTGCCAGACCTACTGAGTTTTTCCAACATTTTCTGCTTTTATTCTTGTTGATCTCTTGTACCTCACTGTGCGTGGCCACTAAAATTCCTCTCTGTGCCTTTTGCCCCTTCAGACCTGGTTGTTCTGCAACGGTCTCTAAGCCAGCCTCTTGAAAAATTACTATTAATTATAAATCCATACCTGCAGATTTAGGCTACTTTTTGATGAATGTCTATAATTTAGTTTTGAAATTCTTGAAACATTGAGTGGTTTAAAACTTAGATATTTTGTTCAGTATTTTAACAATACACAATGAACCAAAGTCCAAGAGTAAAGCCAGACAATAATATTGGGATTCTACCAACCCTCTGGAGATAGTCAGGAAAATGGATGATTTAGTGAAGCAACAGTGGAGAACATGGGAAGGGAAGCCCAATGTATCTTGCTGCTATTGAATAATTCAAAAGACAGAACACCAACTCCACAGTCTCCCTGATTGAAGTGGCCATTGCTGAGGCTGAAAGGGGAAGAAGATATTTTCCTAATGAATCTGTTCAAGGGTGTCATTGGATACTTCTGGAGGAGGTGGGACTTGAACCCAAGTCTCCTCAGTCAGAGATAAGGCCACTCTGCCACAAGAGCAAAGACAATGCTCCTTCAGACTAAGCCATCCTCAAAGGGGTCAGGGAGAAGCTTTTTTAATCTCCCGGGCCTGGTAGACAGGCTGCGGTGATCAGAGGGCTGAGCCTTCTGCTGGTGATATCAGAGCTGCAGACTGGACATTGTCACAAGGGATCCCTTCTGCAGGCCATCAAGCACACACAGAGAAAGGCCCCTTAAACTGCTGGGCAATTGCTTCCATTTTACTGGTTGTCTCCTCACACAGTTTTGGAAAGGACGTAGTGCTTTTCTGACACTGGAAAACTGGAGGTGCAGGCTACCTAATCTAATTAATTGGTCTATTCACAGCTTTGTCATATCCCTCCATCAATACTTACATAATTCTTGAACGTTCTGGCCAAAGTCTTGCATCCAAAGTTCAAAACATTAAGCTGTTGTCAATGCATTAACAGTCTGAGTATTTAAAAGAATATCCAGAAATGTGTATTTATTTATTAAATATTTATTTTCCTCTCAAAACATCCGTCAGCAACATTTGAAAAAAAAAACTTGTTAAAGCCATTACACATGGAATGAATAAACAATTCAATACCTTGTGATGGAACAAAATCTAGCATAAGCATTTGTTTTATTTTTGTCAAGCTGTTCCTACTTCAAGCCATATATAACATAAAATGACATTTGATCCACGTAATTAACCAACTGATTCTGTTGAAGATATTTACCAAAACTATGAATTTTTTTCACAGACTTGCTTTAGATACCACCTAGAAATATGTGACTACTAGGTATATATTAAACACTGCTTCATTTTCCAATAACTGATAATATGTGGGAATTACAGTTAAAGCTTATGACTCAGTTGCTGGAGTCACTTATCTGTCATCTCTTGCTTCCAGTAAGAGCAAAATGAACTACAATTTTCTAGCAGGCAATCTCTAAAAATCCTTTCACAATATAAAATACTTCTAATGCTTTGAATAGGCTTCACATTTTGAAGACATTTGAGACACATTTACACCACTTGGTTTTAAAGCTTACAAATAGTACATCGCATTTTACAAGCAGAAACTCAACACCAAAAGATTGCGTGCATTTGATCTACTATTCATAATATGTAAATAGCTGATTGTGTTTTTTGTTTTGTCTCTAGTCTCATTCTAACATTTGGTTTAAAACAGCTGTCACATAGTAACAGGAAAATACAACATAAGTTCTTAAATTTAGAAGCCATTCATAAAAATTCCCTTGAGGAGCATACTTTATTCACTCTAACAATAATTTACAAAACATTTATTCTAACCATGCAAATTAATCTTTTATTTTGGGTATAATGGTATTGTAAACATATTTAGTATTTATTAGTGGGAGGAAGATCTTAAACAGAGAGAGAAAAAAAACAATTCCAGTGATGAGATAAGGCCATGTTTTCTGCGTCTCAGTCCTGTTCAAAAGCAATACCTTTACGACTCAATGTCAGTTTGTAGAGACAGATTCTCATGCTCCTGAAGATGGCCGTTGTGTAAAACTGTGTACCTATAAAACAAAAATTAAAAGGGTTCAGCTAATAGTATGATAATAATGTAGTAACACTTCTTGGGTATTACACTTACTTGCATTATATAACAATATAATCTTATAACCTTTGTCAATCTGTGTAATGTTTATTCAAATTAGTTTTCTCATTTTCTCAAATCTCTTCTTAAACTGTCTCCAAGTGCATCTTGTGCATTAATTCTAACTCATCTCTCCTTAACCCTTGCTCTACTAAAATATTGATAATGCAACTTCTCTTCTTGACTCTCATGTTAATTGATTTTGTTAATAGTATCGCTCTCCAGAGTTATATTCCTCTCTTCAAATCTGCTGTCCTTAACTATAGCAGGAGGCTGCTGGTTCCCAAGGTGGACTAAGTGGAAAGCTTACCTGGGAAATAAAGCATAAAACATTGCTTTTGCTCTCACCTTCTCACTGTCCATGCCCCATCCGTGCTAATTAATGCCCTGCACCCACTTCCATTTCCTGTGCGAACCTATGCATCTGTACAATGTTCAATGTTCCCTCACATGCCCATACCACACTGTGCGCATCCAGAGATTTCCCTTGGGCCTTTATCCCTTATGTCATGCCAAACATAAAAACATAGAAAATAGGAGCAGGAGTAGGCCATTTGGCTCTTTGACCCCACCCCATCATTCATTATCGTGGCTGATCATTTATCTCAATACTGTACTGACACTCTCTCCGTACACCTTGACACTTTTAGCTTCTGGAAATCTGTTTCTTTCTCAAATATATTCACTGACTTTGTCTTCACACCTGTTTGTGGTGTAAAATTCCTCAGTTTTGCTACACTCTGAGTGAATCAACATCTCCTCATCTGAGTCCAAAATGGCCTCATATGAATCCTGAGATAGTGACTCCATGCTCTGGATGCCCCAACTTGGGTAAACACCATCCCTACATCCCGTCTGTCCAGCCATGTCAGAATTTTATATGTTTCAATTAAAGTCCTTCTCATTTTTCTAAACACCAATGAATATACACACATTCATCCAAATCTCTCCTCTTAAGACACTCCTACCTTGCAGTGCTCCCTCTATGGCAAGTGTATCTTTTCTTTGTTAAGAAGAGCAAAACTGCGCACAGTACTCCATTGTGGTCTCACAAAGGTCCTGTACAGTGTTAGTGAGACTTTTTGGTCCTGTTCTCAAATCTTCTTATAATGAAGGTCAACATACCATTTGCCTTCCTAACTGCTTGTTGTACCTACATGCTTGCTTTTAATAGCCGGTTAGCTTAGTTGGCTGGTTTGTGATGCACAGTGATGCCAACAGCATGGGTTCAATTCCCGCACCAGCTGACATTACCATGAAGGACTCTCCTTCTCCTTCCTCGTCTGTGGCACGGTGACTCAGGTTAATACACCATCAGTTGTCTTTCTCTAATGAGAGAGCAACCCTATGTTGACTTTATCTTTTACACTTACAAGTACATCCAGATCTCCTTGTGTATCAACCTTCCCCAGTCTATCACCATTTAAATGATGCCCTGCCTTTTTTTTTACCTATTTATGTGAACAACTTCCAATTTATCATGTTATACTGTATCTGCCATGTGTTTGTTTGCATACTTACTTAACTTGCTTAAATAAAGTCACTTTATTTCCACCTCATCTTTTACATTCCCAGTTAGTTTGGTGTCATCAGCAAACTTGGAAATATTACGCTTGATTCCCTCATTCAAATCTTTGACACATATTGTGAGTAGCTGGGGCCGAAGCACTCCCTCATCATTGTGTTTCAGTTTGAAAATGACCAATTTATTCCTACTCCCTACTTTGTTTTGTCTGTTAACCAATTCTCAATCCATGCCAGCATATTTCCACCAGTCCCATGTGCTTTCACTTTCACAATGATTTAGTTGTGAGACTTTAACAAAGGGTTCCTACAAATCCAAATATATCACATCCTCTGGTTCTCCTTCATCAATTCTACTTACAACCTCAGAAAAATTCAGTAGGTTTGTCAAACATGATTTCCCTTTGATAAATTTATATTGGATTTTGTGCAATGCCATTGGTGTTTTCTAGATGTTTAGTTATTACACATTTATAATAGATTCCAGTATTTTATGAGCACTTTATCTGGCTCCTCTTCAGATGTAATAATATCCCTAGATTAATTTGTTAACCATGGGGGGGGCCACTTTTCCTGATAAACATTCCTTTTGGTCAAAATAACAAAACAATTTCATAGCATGCATTCATTCCTGAAATATTAACTAATGCCTGTCTATGTGCCTTTTAATGAAGTTCCCCATCTATCAAATCAATGCACTCATCATGTCTTTGTACTTTTCTTTGTTTAGATTTAGGACCTTAGTTTTGGATTGGATTAGTTTACTTTCTATCTGAATGCAGAACTCGCTCATGCTATTGTCACTTTTTCCAACAGGACCTCTTACAAGATTATTAATTAATCCTTCTTATTGTACAAAAACAAATCTAAAATAGCTAGTCCTGAGTTGGTTCCTCACACACTGGTCTGAAAATCCATCTTGTAGTCATTTCAAGAATTCATCCACCATTAAATGTCACAGGAGCCTCGAGTTCTAAATTATTATTGCAAATCTGGTTTGCCCAGTCAATATGTATATTAATATTACACACAAATAGCACCCGTGTTACAAAAATCTCGAATGATCCATTTAATGCCATCCCCTAGCTCACCACTGTTTGGGAGCCTATAGACAACACCCACTAATGTTTTTTCCTCTTGTTGATTCTTAGCTCCAGCCAGACTGATTTTACATCAAGATTTCTTCTATTAATATCCTTTCTCACTATTGCACTAATTCATCTTTCACTAACAATACCACCCCAACTCCTTTTCTGTTGTGCCTGTCCTCCCTAAAGACTGAATAGCTTCGTATATTCTGCTTCAGACTGGGTTACCCCACAGCCATGTTTCTATAATCACAGTCACATAGTACCCAAGCGCAACCTTTGCATTGTTAATTTGCCTACATTATTGTGAATGTTCTGTACATTTAAATATAATACCAATAGATGTATTTTTGACAACTTTATGCTGTTTTGGCTCTTCAGGGCTATTTCCTCATTTCCTCTACCTTCTTATCTTTCAATTTGATCATGGTTTCCCTCACTCTCGTCTCCCTGCTCAGTTTCTTGTCCACTGCTAATCTAGTTTAAAACTTGCCCCACTCTGCTCAATTACCTTTCATATTTTGTGTGCTAACTCATTTGCATATTGATACACTGTCATTAATAGAAAAAAAAATGTATTGAAATTCCTTATGAAAACACACTGTTGATTTAAGTGCTCAATCCCCATTGTAAACAAAAATTGACTTAAATGCTCAATTCCTTACGAAAATAAGCATTTCACTTAAATACTCAGTGCCTTATGGAGGTAAACATTTCACTTAAGTGCCGAATCTCTTTTGGGCACAAACGTGTCCATATTATGAGCAACTGGAGCTATCCATCAAACTGCTAACTCATTAGGCACCCCTTGGTGAAAATGATAATTTGGGAAATCAATTGTATAATATAAATCCTGTAATGTTTTAAGTCAACAGGAACATTGAAATACCCAGCACAGATTTTCTTTTTCTCAACACCACTCATTTTTGGTTAATTTCTTTACAGCTTTCACAGTCCCAATCATCATCAGCAGCAAAGTAGAGGAGTCATTATGTGGTATTAAATGGCATTTGATCAGCAGTAGAGAGATAGTAGGAACTGCAGATGCTGGAGAATCTGAGATAACAAGGTGTAGAGCTGGATGAACACAGCAGGCCAAGCAGCATCAGAGGAGCAGGAAGGCTGACGTTTCGGGCCTAGATGGGGTCATCATGTGTTCCTCTGGGTCATGGTTTAGGTTCAGCAGCTTCATCAATGATCTTTTCTCCACCATAAGGTTAAAAGTATGGATGTTCACTGATGATTGCACGATGTTCAGCATTATACACAACTCCTCAGATGCTGAAAGAACCTCAGTCCATATGCAGCAAGACCAGGACAAGATCTAGGCTTTGGCTGGTAAATTGCAAATAACATTTATGCTATACAAGGGCCAAATAATGACCAATACCAATGAGACAAAATCTAAACTTGATATCCTGTCACTGAATTCCCCACTATCATTATCCTGGGAGATTACCATTGATCAGAATCTGAACTGTGGTTACAAGAGCAGGTCAGGGGCTGGGAAGTCTGTAGCAAGTAACTCATCTCTCATCTTTCCACCATTCACAAAGCACAATTCAAGACTGTGATGGTTTTGAGGAACATATTTTCATCCAGATGGTCTAGGGATCTGGAATGCACTGCCTGGGAATGTTATTGAGGTGGGTAACCTCACAACCTTTAAAATTATTTAGATAAACATTTGAAGTGTCATAAAATTCAGGGCTATGGGTCTAGTACAGGTAAGTGGGACTAGTGTAGGTAGATGAAGCAGCCGAAGATGGTGTTTTGCCATCCAGACTCAATGGGCTGTAGGGTCTTTTCTGGACGATATGATTCTCTGATTCCCAGAGAAAGGCGTTACATGACTGAGACAAAAGTAGGATTGATTATTTCACCTTGATGTACTTTATCACATATGCTAGAAAAATAAATGATACATATTTAGGTTATTTTTCTTTGATGTCAGATGCATCATAATATGCATGCTTATGCTTCAGTGGTCTCTGGTCAGGAAGGTCACTTTTACTTCTAATGTTTGATGATTTTTGATTATTAAAGTTTTCCAGGTAAGCCAGGTCAAGCAGTTTAAAGCTGTAAGATTCCTGTGATATTAATTTGATCACTATAGAACTCCTGCAAATAACTCTAAGGAAACTACTTTAGAAATAGAAAATATTCATATGTGGGTGTGATAAGCTCATTGGAAGTAAAACCAATTTAGTTGCTTATCTCACACAATGTATTTTACAATAAATATTGACATACACAGGCCAATACTTACATCACACTCAAATAGTATGTCTACTTTTAAATCATATTT